TGTGTAACGTGTATACGAGCCAGTTTCCCTTAGAAAGTCCTCCACGAAGGTATCCCTCCCTTTAGGCAGATAGCCCTCGTGTGCTTTGCCATAATTAAATAATCCAATCCAGTTTAATAAAAATATTAATTTTGTGAAGGTATACTTAGAATGCATCTATTTAAGGATGAAATTAAAATTTTATGGTCATAATTCAAAATTGCTGAAAAATTTATAAAGTTTCTTTAAAAATGCAAACATTAGAAAGAAATCAGAGAAAAACAAAAATGTGAATTATATTTGGATTGAACCTAAATTTCGATTTATAAAAGAAAAGACCATGTAAGTACAATTAAAAAAAGAGATAAAATTAGCAAAGCAACAACCTTGTGTTTAACACAGATTTAGTCATTGCTGCTGCGATTTTACGTAAATTTTTGCTTTCCTAATTTTATGTTTCACTTTCGCGCTTTTCTCTTCTCTTTTAAAAAAAAAGAGAGATTGTTAAATCTATACCAGATTTAATTAACCTAAAATTTGAAAAAAGCATTGCTGCTGCGATTTTACGTAAATTTTTGCTTTCCTAATTTTATGTTTCACTTTCGCGCTTTTCTCTTCTCTTTTTAAAAAAAAAGAGAGATTGTTAAATCTATACCAGATTTAATTAACCTAAAATTTGAAAAAAGCATTGCTGCTGCGATTTTACGTAAATTTTTGCTTTCCTAATTTTATGTTTCACTTTCGCGCTTTTCTCTTCTCTTTTAAAAAAAAAAGAGAGATTGTTAAATCTATACCAGATTTAATTAACCTAAAATTTGAAAAAAGCATTGCTGCTGCGATTTTACGTAAATTTTTGCTTTCCTAATTTTATGTTTCACTTTCGCGCTTTTCTCTTCTCTTTTAAAAAAAAAAGAGAGATTGTTAAATCTATACCAGATTTAATTAACCTAAAATTTGAAAAAAGCATTGCTGCTGCGATTTTACGTAAATTTTTGCTTTCCTAATTTTATGTTTCACTTTCGCGCTTTTCTCTTCTCTTTTAAAAAAAAAAGAGAGATTGTTTAAATCTATACCAGATTTAATTAACCTAAAATTTGAAAAAAAGCATTGCTGCTGCGATTTTACGTAAATTTTTGCTTTCCTAATTTTATGTTTCACTTTCGCGCTTTTCTCTTCTCTTTAAAAAAAAAAGAGAGATTGTTAATCTATACCAGATTTAATTAACCTAAAATTTGAAAAAAAAAAAGCATTGCTGCTGCGATTTTACGTAAATTTTTGCTTTCCTAATTTTATGTTTCACTTTCGCGCTTTTCTCTTCTCTTTTAAAAAAAAAAGAGAGATTGTTAAATCTATACCAGATTTAATTAACCTAAAATTTGAAAAAAGCATTGCTGCTGCGATTTTACGTAAATTTTTGCTTTCCTAATTTTATGTTTCACTTTCGCGCTTTTCTCTTCTCTTTAAAAAAAAAAAGAGAGATTGTTAAATCTATACCAGATTTAATTAACCTAAAATTTGAAAAAAGCATTGCTGCTGCGATTTTACGTAAATTTTTTGCTTTCCTAATTTTATGTTTCACTTTCGCGCTTTTCTCTTCTCTCTTTAAAAAAAAAAGAGAGATTGTTAAATCTATACCAGATTTAATTAACCTAAAATTTGAAAAAAGCATTGCTGCTGCGATTTTACGTAAATTTTGCTTTCCTAATTTTATGTTTCACTTTCGCGCTTTTCTCTTCTCTTTTAAAAAAAAAGAGAGATTGTTAAATCTATACCAGATTTAATTAACCTAAAATTTGAAAAAAGCATTGCTGCTGCGATTTTACGTAAATTTTTGCTTTCCTAATTTTATGTTTCACTTTCGCGCTTTTCTCTTCTCTTTTAAAAAAAAAAGAGAGATTGTTAAATCTATACCAGATTTAATTAACCTAAAATTTGAAAAAAGCATTGCTGCTGCGATTTTTACGAAACTTTGCACTTTCGCATAATTTGAGGCGTACAGTTGAAATATGAGGAAAAAAATGCTATCATTTCAGATAAAGTCCGAGAATATGCCATATATATATTAAAATAATAGTACATATCCTAAGTCAAGCTTTCGAGACATGAGGGTACGTAGGTTGAATTTTGTCGACTGGCCGGATTAGAACGAAAGATTTTTTCACCCTTTTTACTTCCTTGTACGAAGTAAAAAGGAAGTATTGTAACAGCGAAAAGTTCAGGCAGCATATTTCAACGAAAATATCCATTTTGACCGCTATCGAATGCAATTTAACGATGTTTTTGTGCGATATCTGTACGTAAGGACAGATTAAAATACTCTTTTCCTTAAAAAAAATTATAAAACTGCTTTAAAATAAATTCTGAAGAGAATTTTTCGTAACGTCTGTACGAACGTATGTACGTACCTACGTACGTTCGTGCGTACGTACGTATCTCGCATAACTCAAAAACGAGTAGCCTCAGAACGTTGAAATTTTGTATATAGGACTGCTATAACATGTAGATGTGCACCTCGTATTTTGGTTGCAATCGGCCGCACCAAACGTATATAAATATATTTATATATATATATACACCCTGTTACCCGGCTCAGTGATCTCGGTTTCTTTACTCTTATATGTTGGTAAATTGTACGTTTTTTGCTTTAAAAATGATTGAATTATGTTGTTTTTATCTTCCGGTTAAGAATTTTATGCCTTTAGTAAATCTGTGTGCAATAGTTTTAGAATTATCAGCAATTTTAAAGTTGTTTAATTGCCGCTAAGCCTGTTTTTAATGGCGGCCATTGATGTTTACATTTGAAACAGGAGACTAGTGGATTTGTTGCCAATCTAGAGAAACTTAGCTTCGCAACAACAAATATAACGCCTTCATTTATTATTTAAATCATGCTTAATCCTTTCTGGAATTTTTTCGAGGAAATAAGCGTTTAAGATTTACTTCGTAAGTTTTAATATAGATATTTTGAGTTTTTATGTATTTTTGTCTTCTCGCGAAGTGTGAACTGAATTAATTAAATGAGAAATACTCAATCGCCTGTGAAAAACTGTTTCTTTTTGGTTTTGTTTGCTTAATTTCTTTTATACATCATTCTAGCTTTATTATAGTATTTGAATAGAACATGTGGCAACGATTAGATAATTCTATTCTTTAAATGATATAAATTTTGTGCATTATGAGTTGTAATATGAACGAAATATAATACTGAAGGGGAGTCATCACTTTTGCGCAACGCAAAAAAGTGAGAATTTTAGCTGATTTTCTAGTTTTAATAAGTCAAATTGTTTTTATCATACATATATGAAATTTTCAGTGTGTCATCTCTATACATAGATGATTATCTTTCTTGATTTATTTTACTTAATAGTGTATAAGAATTTGTTTTATAAGGAAAAAACTAACTGTATTTTCCACAAATTTAAAATTTGTACTGAAGCACTGCGCGCAAACTGACAGTAATACAAATTTAGTTACAGTAATAATTTTTAAGTGAATCTAGCGCCAGAGTGTCGCTATGGTAAACAAATACTAGAGTGAATTTTAAAGAATGCATTTATTCTATTGTGGTTTATGCGCTGTCCGCGAAGTAGATTTAATTCAATCCAATAAGTTTAATTGAAATGCAAGAAAAATGCGTATAATTTAATATTCCGTACAAAGAAGTCATATGGTATACACATCAGATTTTTTTTGTTTTTCTTTTTAACTCGGAGTACATTTAAGTGATTTTCTGAATGTAATACATTTAATAAGGTTTCACGCCAGAGTCGTAGTTACGTTTTCAGCCGCCCGCTCTTGTTTGCAAAAAATGGAAAAAATTCATTCATTCATTCATTATTCATTATTGCCCAGATATTGCAGTTGAGACGCAACGTGTCCGGCTCAGTGATACTTAAGCCCATAAGGGCGCATGACGGTGATATGTATAAACAGGAAAATATTTAATTAAAAAATTTCTTAATATCAGTTTGACGTCCCCTGGATGCTGCCCCCGGGATCAGATGACCCCTCCCCTCTAGCTAGGCCACTTTTTCACGTATAACCGTATACAGGGACGTTCCTAGTGGGGGTGCAGCGTGTAAAAGTACGTGGGCGGCCGGACTCTCGCGATTGGTCTGGTTAGGTAGGTCAGGCTGCGCCCACTTCTGGTACCACGACTAAATATTTTAAATTCATTGTAAGTACTTATTATATTTAAGTACTTCTTATACATTTTGTAATATGTAAATACTTAGTGAATATGAAATCAAAATTTTTTATTAAACACTGAATTTTTTTAGGAGGGGCCGGCAATCCTAGGAAAGTACGCGAGTAGCCAATCCTAGGGGGAGGGGCAATTGTAGGAAAGTACACGGGGAGCCAATGGCCTAGAAACGACCCTGACAGTATATTCCTAAATTTAAATTAATTTTGTGAAGTTTTCAAATAACCTTCTGACAAGCATTTGTACCTATAACTGATGACTATTCGTTGAGGAGGAATATATAAATAATTTATTAATTTAATTCAAGTAAACTATTTTAAAGAACTTTTACCTATTCAGTTTATGATAAAAGTTGAATAACGTAAAGAAACATCTTAATTTTTATAATAATATTTTATCATTCGAAATTGAGGAAGAAATAGCTTAAATTTATATGGATTACCTTAAGTAAGATATAAAGATTAGATTTTCACTAAAAATTAGATCATCACTATGTACCTTTCTGAGACAAAACATCCGCATACCCATATGCTTTCGGATTTCGTTCTAAATATAGTCCTGTTCTGAAGTTATAGTAGTTTAACCAAGTATTAAAGTAAAAACAAAATTTACTTCGGCTCAGATTTTCCAAAATGAATTTTTTCATTCATTTTTCTTCCAAATTCTGTATTTTACTTTCATTAAAATTGGATAATCTTCCGCCTACCTCCGTAAAAGCTTCTTATTTAAAGAGCAATGCTTTCTTCGTAGATGCGTTGTTATGGAAACCTGCGATAGAGGGCGCTAATGCCGACGACGGGAAGCGACATCCAAATCTCGCAATGGCGAAGGACGCTTTCGCTGCGTTGAGGAAAAGTCGTTGAACGACAAACCCGGCTTTTAGCAATGGAGTAAGAACGATGATGTGTGGGCGGATATATTCACGCTGAAAACTTCGCTTGCTCATGGCACTTGCGATGAAGAAAGAGAGGGACTTTATGTTCCACTTCGACGGACAAGTCAAAGGTAAATATATCCCTATATTCGATTGTTAAACCTCAGATTTATCAAAACATTCCTTCCGTTAACATCCCTCCTCCGCCTATACGGCACGCATTGCATCTCCTGTTAGTCTGTCTAGACCGGAAATGATAGGTCTATAGAATTTAATATCATAGCTTATGGCTCTTTCTTAACGGCTATTAAGTTTTATTCTTTTTTCATTGTGCAGTTATAAATGTTGCTGTTATTAGTATTTGATGCTTTTCAGATATCTCAGCAAATATATCGTTTGAAGGTTAAGTATTGTTTCATAAATACCGTTTGTTTCATAATACAATAATAACCGTTTTGTTTCCTATTATGATAAATGTATGTCTGTTTTAATCTGTCATTTTGTTTGGTTGGAAATTTTGGAGTTATAATCTAATATCACGATGTTCTGTAATTCTAGCTGATTGAGATAAAATCATATCGCTAAATGATAGCATTTTTTTATATTTTTATTTTATTTCATGTTACTTTGAGAATAATTTGTACGACGATATTAAGGTTTAATACGGTCTGTTGACTAGTTCGATATCTACTAAATAGCTTAAGCTTACCCATTTGCCTAACAATTTAGGATTTTACTAGCTGTATTTTTATCTTTTTTAGTTCAGTTGTCATCGGCGTTATAAAAAGTTTTAGCTCTTAACAGTGGAGCTCCAAAAGCCTAGAGCTGTGTATATAGGAATTTGAAAAATTCGAATTTTTTCTTGTAAGGCTGAAAATACTGTAATGCAAATACAGAACTTTATTTTATTTATTTATTTATTTTTTGCAGACACAAAAATTGAACGCATGATCCTGTCGTATTTCTTCCGTATCGAAATTAAATAAAAATTATTTTTATTTGTTCTAAATAAAACGCCTAACATCTTTCCATTCAATTAAGATGTTATTTTTTTAACTGATGCAAAATATTAAAATTAACAATTTAAATACCTGGTGTTAAAGTTTAGAACGAATGAGTTGAAAACTTTTAGAACAGGTGTAAAAAAATGAGTGGCATTTAAATTTTGTTTATTGCGTCATACCTAGGTTGCGAATTTAAGTAATGATATATATCTGAATGCTGGATTTCTTGTGCAATATATAGAACTTATATAGAACAATATATAGGACTTGTGCAGTATATAGAAATAGTAAAAGATGAGCAGAATAGCGGTAAATGCAGACATGATTATGAATACGTTTTAGTGTCATACATTGTATCAGTTATAAATTTAAAAAACATGCATTGCATTTATATAAAATATTTAAAAAAATAATTATTATTTGAATTTTTTTTGAATTCATTTCATATTTTAATTTTATCAGTGTATCAGTATTTATTTTTAGGCTCAATAAGAGAAAAAAATTATTTATTTATTTATTTTAAGAAGTGTTGTGCTAAGTGGGGTGCAAAATTTACATCAGTGCCTAATAGCACATTTGCTTTTCACTCTTATCTTTTGATGTGAGAAAACGTCTGCGTTTCTGTTATATTTGAATCTATAAGTGATGACGTATTATGAAATTGTTCGGTAAATTTACTATTTCAGTTGCCTTTTAGTTTTTAGATTCTTAATTCTCAAATCAATCTTATTTAATCAGAAGAACGCAGGGAAAAAAAAAAAAAAAAAAAAAAAAAAGATCTTTCTGCAATGTGTACATATGTTATCGATTTGCGAACTCGCATATATAAACTATCAATACGGGGAAGCCTGGTGGAAGCCTAAAAGCATACATTGTATAATATTGGTAATAATTATGAAAATTCGCACTTTAACCAGTGAATGAGTAACGTTGTGGTACAGCGTAATATGACGTAACTGTACGTGAAAAATGGAAATTAAACTATAGACCGCTAATGGCGAAATTCTCAGCCGTAAGCAAATAAGCCGTTTATAATCTGTTTTTAAGTAAGGCAATGATTGCATCCTACTTGTTACAGAAGTTTGCGGTCATTATATAAATAATAGTTCTTAGCATATTGTTATAATTTTATGCACAGAAAACAGAAAAAATCTTTCTTCAGTTTTGGGAATCAATTGTTTTGACATCTGACACGACAATCCCGCCATATTTCGCATCACATTACGCAACGCTGTCATAGTTTCAATTAGCGGACTGGCAAATTGCCAATTGAAGTGTGGTTCCGATTATTGCTTCTAAAGATTCTTTAGTTTAAAAACTAAAACACTTCAAATTGCATTATCAGTGTAACAAACTGAGAGATTTAAATGAAATAAAGCCAAAAAAAATTAAACGTTTAATAATTCTTTACATTAAAGCGTTTATAGCTTGGTCTTTTCATGTGCTGCTAATGCATTTGTTTGTTGTCTAGAAAATTGGTACTTCTCACGGGTGCTGCCATTTCTTTCGAATATAAAGAGCGCATTGCTTTTTCTAGTTTAACGATTTGAAAGGCAATATGTTACTTCTGAACCGTTTATATTTTTATTTTTTCAATACTCTCTCTCATTCATGAAGATTATAATTCACATAATTTAATATCATAAACCAGTGGTCTCAAACTGATCGCTCGCTAAAACGTTTCAATTATGTATTTGTTGCAAAGATTTGAAGTTTGAGTTTACATTATTTACATTACTAATGAAAACGGAGCGGAGGTTGAACCTGCGCGTCTGTTTTTGAGGGGGAGTTAGACTTAGACTCTATAATTGACCGAGCTATTGCGAAGAGCAATGTTGCCGGTTCCAAAATTAAAGCCCAAGGGCATTTGACATAAATAAATCCGGACGTGGAGAAAATCTCAGATGAGAAAACGGAGATAAGGGGAAGAAGAGAAGTACCAAAAGGAGCAAGACAATCCAATCGGACAAGTTCGCAAAAGGTGACGAGCGATCATAGCTTTCAAGGAGGACCCAAGACAATGGAAATCAATGACAACAATACGAGAAGATACACTACAGCAATAGTTCCAATGACAAATTCAAATATAATTAAACAACATCAATCAGTAGTGCTAAATACAACACAATACAAAACAACTATACAACACAATTTAAATACAATTATTCAACGAAGCAACAGAAGAACTTCAATCAAAATCGGATGCATTGGAAGTGTAAATAGCTAACAATTGGGGATCTAAGTGAAAAAGTTGTCGTCTCCTCCCATGAAGGTGTGGGCTGCAAGTGGTCTGACGCTTCTATCTTCGAAGAGAATTTCATAATTAAAAACTTGGGAGTAATTAACAAAGTCACATTGCACAGCTTTGTTGAAGAATTTTTCATTAGATCTTCTGATGTAATCTGGAATCGTCTCAAGTTTTAAGTCTCTGTGTAAAAGTTTATTGCAGATAAGATAGTGAGAATCAGTAATAATGCGCAGAAATTTGTTTTGCACTACTTGTAATTGATGCAGTTGAGTTTGAGTGACCGTGTACCAAGCAGGAGCAGCATAACAAAGTATCGGTCGAATGCAAGTGGTATATATATGATTTTTGGTACGCAAGCTAAGATTTGAATGTTTTCCAATGACCGGGAGAAATCTGCATATTATGCCCATGGCTTTGCTCTTGACACTATTAATGTGATTAGACCATGTGAGCCTTTGGTTCAAAATAATTCCTAAGTATTTGGCCTTTGTGACCAGAGGAACAGCTTCCTGAAAAAGGTAGAGGTCTTTAAAAGCAATTTTTTTCTTAGTTTTGCTAAGAATTAAAAGTTGTGACTTGCTAGCATTGATTTTTACTCGCCAATTTGTGCACCAGTCTTCTACGGCATAGAGGTAATTTTGCATTTTGTCTATTGCATGATTAGCTTGAATGGATTTAATTGCAATCGCCGTATCGTCGGCATAACATGCTAACAGAGAGTAATTGTCCCAAACCAGGGTGAGGAAAATCTGGTATGTAGAAAAGATATAGTACTGGACCGAGAATACTTCCTTGTGGGACGCTGGATCTTATAGGTCTTGAATTGGATTTTTCATTTCCTTGAGCGACGAAGAAAGTGCGGTTTTGCAAAAAGGAGAAGATCAGAAGAATGAGCTCTCTAGGAAGTCCCAAGTTGATAAGCTTGAAGACGAGCCCCTCATGCCAGACGCGGTCAAAGGCTTTTGCCACGTCCAGCATAAGGAGCACAACACTTTGCTTGTTATGGAATAAGGGGGAGTTGGATCTGTAGTAGGGACTTATGGAGTCACGTGGAGAAGAGCATGCCAAAATCTAAACTAATGAAAACAAACGTGAATAACGCACCAGACATTCTACATATGGAGCTAATTAATTTACAGTGTGATAGAAATCTTATTCAGAGATTCCGTTAGAGATTTGCTTTATTTTTAGTTCGTAGTTGTCAAAAAATAAATATGCTCAGTTGCGAAATATTGTACTAAAAATTATCACTTTTGTATGGAAACGCAGTTATATGTGGATAGCTTTTTTTTTCCTTTCACAGTTAGCCGATGAGCATCGGCAGTCCATGATGAAGATAATTTGTAGTAATTTTTCTTTCAGGCTATAAGTGTTAGGAGAATCAAAACGCCATCAAATGTCAAGCTGCAGTAAAAAAGAAAAGTTTATAATTATTTACATACAGACCTCTCTGTTTTTGTTTATGTCCAAGATATATTTAATGAATAAGAGAGAGACAATAGGCTGTCATTATTATGTATTCTCATTTTTGCACATCTAAAATTTCCTCTGAAGATTCAGAAAAAATTTTCATATTTATTTTTAAGTTTAAATTAAAATAGTTTATTGCAGTGCTCAGTATAATTTGTTATTTAATGATTATTTTAATATATTAAAATTATTTAAAATGAATGCCAACCTGAAAATTTAATATTAACCATCAATATGTTTAAATTACAAATGCAACCTACAGTAATGCCTTTCAGGTACCAACTTTAGATTTCAGGTAAAAAATAAATTTGCATTGCCTTATTATTGTTATTATTAGCCTTAAAAAGCGCTATTAGTCTGGAAACACGATTTTGCATTGTTCCGGTTTAAAGCATTGTTTAACTTTTCA